CTTTCCTCTTAAGTTCCTTAAAACCACGCACACAAGTTATTTATAATGCATCCTATACACGTGTGTGTATGTTAGAGTTTATAAAATTTTGCATAAAGACCTTTCCTCGGGTTTCTTCGAATCATACTCAAGCATTCGCATTTGGAACCTGTGTGTGTGTCCGTATCGACACAGATGCAGATACAGGCATTTCATTCCTGTTCATCCTCACGGTTTGGTACTTAGGAGTCTCATTCCGTTCCACTGGCTGTGTGAACCTGCTTTGCGATTTCAGCACAGCGTGTCCCCGTGCCGTCGGGTCCCACAGGGGCGCCCAGTGGTCACTGCCGGTCAGACAGGACGTGAGGGTCGGGCAGACCCTACCCGCCCAGCAGCCTAATGGCAAGTTAACCCATCTTACTTCTCAGAGGGTGCGGGGGCGTGGCCACAGATGAAACAGAGCAGAGCCGGTGCTGCACAATGGCTGGGCCCAGCGCACCTGTGTGGGGGGAGGGGAGCCGGCTGGGGCACCTCCCTTTCCTGGCGCGTCACCGAGGGGAGGGAGCAGGCCAGCACAGGGTGACTGTCCTCTCCCACACGCTTCCTTCGCCCACTCACATATTCCAGCCGCGTCCGCTCTGGGGCGTTATTCACACCCCGGCTGTGGAAGGAAAAGGTGGCTGCTTCTGGTTTCTCTTTCAGACCTGACTTTTATCTCACCGTTTTCCCCACTGGTACACACACACACACACACACACACACACACACACTTGTTTTTGGTACAATCATGACCGTATTTCATTTTCACATTTGTTATCTGTCAGGGTTTGGTTTTGATCACTCACCCACCGTGGGAGACGTTTCAAAACACGGAGAAGAAGATAGAAATGGAGAGCTGTGTCGGTTGGTTCTGCGACCGGCAGCAAGACCCCTGAGGCTTGGGCCGCCCCGCTCCCGGTCAGCTGTGTGACCTGCGCTTGTCCACCTCCCGGTCCCTGTTGGTACAGTGAGAATCGTGACATCACACCTCGCGAGGCCTGGAGGGAGTGCAGGGAGTGATCCTTCCCGAAGCTGTGTCCTCATCCTCGGACGGCTGGAGGCTATGACTCCAGCTGTTACGAAACCAAGGGCCAGTCTTAACCTCGGACAACACGTGGTTCTTTAAACGGGACCCTCGCCTCCTGGCTGGAATCGGTATGTCCGAGAACTGACGGGGGGCCCGTGCGGCTGGTCTGTGGCTCCGCTGGCGGCCAGACCTTCCCCATGGCCCAGGGCCTCCTTCCTGGTGTGAGTGCGCGGTCCAGACAGCTCTCGGCCAGGTGAGGTCCAGCTCCAGCTCTGCGGGAGGCCGCAAACTCCGCACAGGGGGCCCGGGGAACCCCTGCGTGTGACTCTGGGCAAAGAGACGGCAGCGCTCCAACACGCCAACCTCTGTCCGTACGTCTGTCCTGGGCACCACTGCCCCTAGCAGATGCTGGGGGGAGGAGGCCCTGTCGGAGGGTTTAGCCAGACCTGTTATAACCCAGTAATTCTCTATCCCCTCAAAGAAAGAACTTGTCCTATCCTTGAAACCGAGTTGTTTTTGCAAAAATTCTTGAAGAGGAAGGTACGCATCAGCCAGGACCACAAGGGTATTGACCATGAGCTTCACTCATCAGGAGATGCCGGACGGGGCGATGAGACATTCAAGGCTGGGATCTAGTAAATGTGAAGAAATATAAAATAAACAACGTGTGCAGCTACTAACTGCTGATATCTGCTTCTGTGCACGCAGCTTGCTTGCTCTGCTAAACTCTTGAGTAACCCCTGCCCTATATAAGCAACCCTCCCCCTGAGCTCGGGGCTGCAGTTCACCTCAGTGTAGGTTGGCTGCAGTCCCTGCGCAGGTCATAAAGCTCCTAATATTCAAAATCACTTGGTGTCCGAGTGAGGTTGACTCTCCTGGGTTCCAACAAGACCCACAACGTTCGGGGCAAAGAAGAAAGGAAGAGAGAGGGAGGGAAGAGGAAGAAAGAAGAAAACGAGGAGGAAAAAGGGAAGCAGATGGGGTTGCTGAGGGTGAACGGAAGGGCTGGGACAGCTTCCAAAGGTCACCTCGGCCAAAGAGGCTTTCCAAGCACAACAGGTAAAGCAAACACTTCTCGGAAGAACTCGAGGACCAAGACAGCAACGAGCAAGCTGCCATCCCCAGGGCTGTACTCACAGCAGCTGTACCTACGGGCCTACGTGTACATCCGGGCGTCCTTCTGTCGTTCGATAAACGGCGTTTACGTTTACACACGGGTGAGACATTCTCGTCTTTCGATGGGTCTCATCAGTGGTTACTGAGCTGCCCAGAGCTGGACGTGACAGGTTTCTGGACCCTCTCGGTTGCATACAAAGCTGTCAAAAAAGTAAGCTGTTGCCCCAGGGAGGGAACAGGTTTGCAAAAAGACATCGATTCCTGGAAGAAAATCCATCCTGGCTCTTCACAGAAGAGACACTTCACACGAGTTGTCCATCTTTGGCTGTTGGAATTATGAAAACCTAGAAGGCATCGAGTGAGCTGCGCAGGCCCGTGGAGAAGGAACACATGGTCACGGATTTCCACTCTAGCTTGCGGCCAAGAAGCTTTAGAGTAGTCGGTTTTGTTTGTAAGTGAAGGGGTGACTTCCGCCTACGCGGGATGTTTGTGAAGAGTGTGGAAAGGGACTTCAGGAAGTGAACCACGCCTCCACGGCTTTGGGGAGCAGAAGTACACCGGCTTGGCCCATGCATCTCTTCCTCCATCCCCATCAGGTTTCGGCAGGTCAGCGCAGAGGAAGGGGCGCTCCCAGCCGGCACCTTGGTTCCTGTAAGTGAACGCAGTGGACTCCCCGACAGCCAGGCCCGACCTGCTGTGGCCAAAACAGAGCCAGGGGGACCCTCTTCAAGGACCCCTGTCCCAGCATGCCTGACACCGTCATCACCCGCAGCTCTGTGTTTGCTCCGAGTTTCAGCCATCTCCGGGAGGCTGCAAAACCCAGGCACCTCCCTACGCGGTTTACCAGGCACCAACTCTGCCCCCCTGGAGATCCACTAGATGCATTCGAGATCGGCTATCACATCCGAGTCCTTGTGCAGGTTCTAGTTCCTAGTCCTAGCGCTGCAGCTCTTAAGCCTTTTTCAAAAGCACTCCTTTTATCGAAGCAATCAATAGAAATGTAACGTTGTTGCAACGGCAAAGAAAAACAGCTGTCTAGTGTGCACATACAGTGGAAGGCAACTGGGAAGAATTCTAAAGGCCCAGCAGGTGAGGCCTGAGATAGCCCAGGTACTCCACCCACCTCTGTGTGATGAACCTGTAAGGGGTTGCGCTGGGTGCCCCCAGCAAGGTTTGTTGGAGTTCAAACTCCCAGGACTTCGGAATGTAATCTTATTTGAAGACAGACTCTTTCCTTAATCAAGTTAAAATGTGGTCATTGGGGTGGAGGGTAATCAGTTATGACTGCTGTCCTTACCCGAGGGGGTAAATTTGGGCACAGAACTAGACACGTTGAGAGAAGACAACAGGAAGAGACAACTGGATAAGAAGGCTATGTACCAGCCAAGGAGAGTAGCCTGGGAAGAAATGAACTCTGTGGACACCTTGATCAAGACTTCTGGTCTGAACTGTGAGACAAGACGTTTCTCTGGTTTAGACCACCCCGTTCGTGGTCCTCTGGGTCACAGCCTCGCACCTTGGGCCACAGTTCCCTAACTGGCTGACGAATTCCCCTTTCCGAGGTCCCGTCCTCCGTGAAGAATCACGACTGGGTTCAATGGGGGGAAGTTCCTTACAGCCACAGATCTAAAGACATAAATTAATGGGACACATTTTTGCAGAACTAACCTTGACCTGCCTCCTCTCACTTAGCACACAGCCTGCTATGCACGGGGAAACTGAGGCACGGAGGTTTCACGGCCCTTTCCGTTGATGAGCTTGCTGAATCCAGGTGTGTCCCCGAGCACAGGTGACCCACCTCACCTGACATGCACCCTCACCTTTTAAGTCTCTGGGGTTTTCCTGGTTCTGTCTCTTGAAAGGCCCTGTCTTGGTGCTTCAACGTGCATCTTTGCAAGTCAACGAACATCAGTAGAAACGGGGACAGAAATGTGTTTCTAACAGCGGGGTGAACATGCTCTTCGGGGTGCACTCAGGAAGGTTGGTAAAAGGGGAGCAAAGGCTTATAGAACAGAAGGAAAGGCGGCAAGGCATGGAAAGCATTCTTATCATTGTGTTTCCCACCACACTCTGGCCTTGGGGGTTTGCCCGGGGACAATGCACCAGCCCGAGATGCTGGGGAGATGCTCCAGGGACACAGGTGCCAAGACCGCAGGCCCGCGCCCCTGCGCATGCGCCCGGGGGGCTCGGAGGAACCCCCTGAGGCTCCCGGGACCAAGGCCACTTGCCCGCACTGCGACCTGGCAGCTCACAGGGACGCCAACACGAGCAACCTCTGCACCCCTCCCCCAACATCCCGCGCTCCATCCTCTAGGCGTCCCCTGCTTCCTCACATCGCGCCCTTTCCAAAATCAGGCCATGCATTTGCCCCCAGACTGGGAAATCGGCTCCGCGCGGCCCCTGGACTGAGCAGCCCGGCCCTTTTACAGCTGTGAAGGGAGCGGAGGTGGATGCCGGCAAACTTGTCCCGCTGGCGGCTGCCCCAGCCGGGCTCCAACAAGAACAGCCGAGGCGCGCGTGCGCGGGACATGCCCGCGATGCCCGGAGCGCGCGTGCGCGGGAGCAGCACAGGGCGCGTATCCGAACGGGCCCAAGAGGCGCGTGCGCGGGCCGCCTCAGGGCGCGCGGTTTGCGGAAGCCCTGGGCGCGCGTGCGCAGCGTGGGTTTGGAATGCTGCGGGCAGGCGAAGAGCGCGCGTGCGCGGGATCGGCTCCGGGCGCGAGCTCCAGGAGCAGCGGGGCCGCGCGTGCGCAGAGCGTCCAGGGCCGCGCGGCGAGTCCCGGAGCGCGCGTGCGCGGGCCAGCGGGCGCGCGTCTCCTCCCCGCCCCCACCTGCGTGAGACGGCGGCACAATGGCGGCGCCCATGCCCTCACCACGGCCTGTCACCCACCTACTCTTTGACATGGACGGCCTCCTGCTGGGTGGGTAGCCTCGGCCGCACCCCGCGAGGGCTGTCCGGGGGGGCGCGGGCAGGGCGCGTGGGCTCTCCGGGTCGGGGGCGCGCGGCGGCCATGCCCCGGACCCCCGAGCGGGTGGGCAGGCGGGCGGGCGGCGGGGCCCAGGCGTCGACGCCGTCCGGGGCGCCCACTTCCGGGTCACGGCGCGGGAGAGCGCGGCGCTCGGGGGACCCCCGCGCGGGCGGGAGATCGGCGTCGGGCCGCGGGGGCCGCGTGCGCGCGCCGCACGGCCTCAGTGTCCCCGTCTGCGCCGGGGCCGAGGACCCCCGCCTGCCGGCCCCGGGGCCGGGGCGCCGAGAGGCACGCACCTTGCCTGCAGCATCTTCCCGAGCAGCTGTCCGCCCCCGCCGGTTTGGGAACATCTGCAGTGACCGGAGGCATGAGAAGTGCCCTCGCTCGAGGGGGTGGGGGTGCTGTCATCCGGGGGGTGGAGGCCCGGGCGCCTGCCAAGCCTCCCGCAGTGCACACGACCGCCCCACCCCACTCCGCACTGTGCAGCCCCAAAGGGCCGCGGGGCGCAAGTGCAGCGGCCCTGCTGAGTGTCCTGGCTGCCGGGGTGTCCTGCAGCACGGGCCCCCCTGGGAGCTGCCCGGAAGTGTAGAACCGGGGCCCCGGCCCACCGCTGCCCGCTCACAGTGTGCATTTGAGCTCGAGTCTGGAAGTTTGAGATGCACACTGAGTTAGGGATTTGACAGCCTTGCAGGCCTGTGTGTGCACTAAACAGCCCAGAGCCCAGAGCCCAGAGCCCAGGCCTATGTGTGCACTAAACAGCCCAGAGCCCAGAGCCGAGCGGGGTAGGCCCGAACTTCCCTGTCCAAGGCGCGTTCAAGTACACATCAAGGGGCCACGGGCTCACTTTATAAGCCACAGAGACCTTTCCCGGAGTGCCACCCCCAAGCCTCACCCCATAGCCCCCGGAAGGCGGCAAAGGACTTGAAACACGCCCGCGTATTTTACAGAGAGGACTGAAACTGCCCCGGCGGGGCGTGCATGTTATTTCTTCATCTCCAGTCCTGCAAGGCCACAGGAAATCGCGGCAGCGACTCATTAGAAACCAGAACACTGCAACTCAGGAAGCGAAAGTTCCTTGCCCGAGGTCGCCCAGCTAGCAAGGAGCAAAGCTGAGAAAGGATTCCAGATAGCTCTGCTTCTAAATATAAGTGCTGTTCTCATCTTACATGGGGAGTGTCACCTTGTCCCCTGCTGATCACACTGCTTGCTAGGTGGTTCAGTGGTAATGAGACTGGTTTTTTTTTTAAAGGTACACAAATTAAACAGCCTCTTTACTTACGGACGCCGAGAGATAAACGGATGAATTTCTAAGCAAAACAAAACCGAACCATAGAGGTCACTAAGTGGAGAGAACAGTGTATGCAGCCACTAATTCTGCCGTGACTCAATGTCACCAAGCTGCTGGGATTCACGAGTGTAGTTTGTAGACATGAATTTTCCTGCTCAGGTGGTTGAGTGGTGAAATTGTCCACTTCCTTACCCACTAATGGAAGGTCCAGAGAGCCTGCTGTGGGAGTCACATGAATTTTAATGCAAACCGAGATGTCTCATGACAATTACATTTATTAGCGTTCTAAATGAGGCGGTGCTTACTCCAGGCTCTGGATTCTTTAGCCTTGCCTGAAGCCATGCAGTGTGACGTAGGGGCCATACCTGCAGGCTGCTATCAGCCTCTTGGCTGGTTCAAGCAAGTTGAATCCTGAAAACCAAGAATTAGTGGCATTTGGGAAGAGGAGACCTAGCTTGTTACTCACTTCCTGCCCCTTTTTTACCTTTCTTGCCCAGGCCATTCTTTGAGGTAGTAAGGCCTTGCACAGATTTCTCAGCAGCTCACCTTTGTTTACTCTCTTCTCAAAACGCCTCGCTTAAAACCCTACGTTTCGAAGTAGGCTAGTTTATCTCATTTAATCTACCCAATTATGTGTGCTGGAATTCTTAAGCGCCTCATTTAAGTACATCTGTTGTTGGCCTAACAATGTATCATCAGTTTATAATGAGTTCTTTTGCAGCAGGTCTGCCTTTCGGGGTTTTGAATGCCTTTCCCCAAGCAGCTCTTTCTGTGACTGTAGCCCCTGCGCTGGGTTTTCAAGGCAGCGACACCGAGTGCAGTTTCACGGAGCGCTCTGCCAGGGCCACGGTCTTTCCTCAGACAGATCTCTGCGGGAACGTTTCGGGGCACACCAGGTGTGTTTGCAGCGGACGATGCCATCGTCCCTTCAAACAGAAAGGACAGTGTGGGATTCAGTTTTTGTTGACATGAGGCAGCAGTCGGCTGTGATCCAGGTAATCTATTCGGCTTTCACTGTCATTTAGGGAAAGAGAAAAGGGGACTGAGGTTGTGTCTGGACCAGGACAAGACTCTGGAGGAGAAAGAACAGTGGCAGGAATTCCCAGAACCTCAGCTCCTGGGTAGGGAAGGTGGTCTAGTTTGTGAATAAATGAAGGAAGGGGCACAGGGATGGGCCCTTCTCTTTAAAAGACAAGGAAGTTTGCCCAGCCGGTGTGGCTCAGTGGATTGGGTGTGGTCCCATGGACTGAGAGGTCCGGGTTCGATTCCCGGTCAGGGCACATGCCCAGGTTGCAGGCTCGATCCCCAGTAAGGGGCGTGCAGAAGGTGGCCAATCTGTGTTTCTCTCTCCCATCAATGTTTCTCTCTCTCTCTCTCCCTTCCTCTCTCTCTCAAAATCATTAAAGAAAAATAAATAAGTAAATAAATGACTGAAAGAGCAGGCAGCTGGTGGTCTGGAGCAGGCCTGTTGGAAACACCACCCTAGTTTTCTACCAGCAACAGACGCAGAAATGAAAGGACACAGGCGGCGCTTGAGCGGGACACGCTTTTCTGTCCTACAAGCCAGAGGTTGTCGTTCAGCCCGTGATCGGCCTCACAAGTCATTGAGGTGTTTGTTGTCTGTTCGTATTTGATAGCCAAGCTTTGAAGTCACACTCATAGTCTGTGCACGTCACACTCAGAGCTGGTCTGAGGCGGACGTGGCCGCATTTCCCGTGCCCAGCAGCCACGATGGGCGGGACAGCGGCTACCTCACTGGGTGGGACAGGTCCAGACCTTTAGGACGCAACCCCTGGCGTCTGCTGTTGAGAATGGGGCCAAGCAGAGGTGGCTTTTAAGAATATGCCGAATTGGGAATTTGGGTATATGTAAAACGTGAGACAGCGTCCAGTGTGTTTGCCGGGTGCCTGCCTGACTCGGTGACTATTTAGACTCTAAAAAATATCAGCCAAAAGAAATAAGCTTATTTCCAAATTCACTAAAAGAAATCAGCAGAAAATACGGTAGGTCTGTGAGGGGAAGTCTTTGCAGTGTTCGTTGTCGGTTACCAGGTCTCTAAGTCCAGGGGGGCTGCAGGATTTTAAGGGGTGACCCACGCCTCGCCCTCAGAGCGGAACGGAGGGCCTGCTGTGCACCGGTCCGCACTCTCGCTTCCGGCCTGCCAGATGAGAGCACGTGAGCCTGTTTGGAGGTGTCCGTTTGTCTGTGTGGGGCCCACGGTACCCCACGGGCTGCTGGAGGGTCTGGGCTTCGCGGTGCTGCAGCAGTTCTGTCTTGTCCGGTCTGTGCCCGGAAGCCCATCTCACACGGTCCGGCTCACCCTCCTGGGCTCCCTTCTTTAGACTGGGGGACATCCATGCAGCAGGTGACAGAACCAGAATGTGACATAGTAACTGCTCGTGCCATAGTTACCTTTCCCAAGACTCAACAGACAGCCCGGGCAAAAGCAGGTGTGGGTACCTGAAACCCGGACTTCCTTCTGGCACTATTGTTTATCGGTTGTATTACTTCCCTAGGAAGGACTGTACATCGACTTTGGCCCCACCCAGTACGTTGTCATCAGACCTCGTGTAATACGTGTGAGGGTTAAACGTGGAGCTTTTCCGGCGTCTCTTGGTACTGCTCACATGGTGCGATTGAATTTGTGGGTTCCCAAAGAGCCCTTGCGCTTTAGGGCGGCGGGACAGAGAAAGGATGCTTGGGGGTGTCCCCTAGGCAGAGACGCCAGTTGGTGTGACAGAATGCTCACGCCCTCCGTCAGGGAGGCCTCTCCACCTCTGCTGCGTGCATTCTCTGCTGGGGGTCTCATTCAGCTGTTGTCCGCCCTGGGAGCCGACGGCCCGTGCTTGGTTTTCTGTCCCCTTGCCCGGTGAGACGTGGTCCCGTCCACCTTTGTAAAGGAGGCGGCTGACCTTTGCAGGTCGGCGTGAGGCCTTTGGCCTGAGCGGGGCCCACCCTGAAGGGGGCCCTGACTTTGAGTTTCTCAGTTTACTGTACTTGATAAGAACTGTTGTATGCGGAGGCTGGGACGGTGTCTGGAGTCCGGCCTAGAACATGGAGGCGTCGGACACCTGGGCTCACTTTCAGGGCCAACGAGACTTGCAGTCAGAGCTCTGGGGGTCAGGAAAGGCAAGAGCAGGCTGTGCTGTATGTCAGAGACAACTCGCGTGTGATCGGGAAGCATCAATCATGCCGCGAAGTGGGCGGGTTCAGCGTCCTGGCTCTGCCTTCTGGTCGACCTGAACCACGTCGGCCTGGCGTCCACTCCCGTCCTCAGGGAGTCAGTGCTTCCTGGTCCACAGCTGCTCCTGTAACCGCCACGGCGGTGAGGGCAAAGTGCAGATCAATGGGACTTTCGTCCGGCTGGCACTGGGACCCGAGGGCTGAGCGGAGCCCTGGCGGGGCAGGTGCACGTGGCCTCCCCCGGGCTCCCCAGCTCCCTCTCCCTCGCAGTCTGGTCTCACCTGGGGTGCGAGCTGCACAAACTGGGTGCCGTCGTGGGGAGCACGCACTGTTTTCCCCTGAACCCTTGGTTTCTTTGCTCCTTGCCTCTCCTTGAACAGTGGTATTCCGGGTTCAGGGGTCCCTTTTGTCTTTCTGGTTATCGGCTGTTTACTTGTTGATGTTTTCTTTTCTAACTGCCATACTGTGAAGCTCAGCTGTG